AATGTTTACCTTTTTTTTAAATGTTATTTCAGTTTCTAAAATGTCCTTGAGTTTGCAAACGCTGTCTCATGCCCAAGACCTTGTCCACGAAGGCACCGTTTTCCAGCAGTAGCTTGCGGGCTCATGCAGATGGAAGAAGGCGTGGGAAGGGTGTGGCATCCTGTAAACACACGCCAGAGGGACTTCTTCCCTCTGGGAAGGACTCTGGCTTAATAGACCTTCCCAAGCTGCGCTTGTCTGGGCTCACTGGTGAGAAACTCCAACTAAATCCATAGATCTTGCCTGTGTTTAGAATTCTCCAGGTATTCGTGATATTTTTCCTTCAAACTTAAAAACGCTAACTCTTGAGGCCTAGCAGTAAAGAATAGCTGTGTACCAGACCGAATATTTCACAGTTTCATCAGCTGTGTACCAGACTGAACATTTCTAAGAGCTGTGGTGTCAAAAAATAGAATCTTATAAATCAAGGGAAAACTTTGGCCTGTAAAATGCATATAGAAAGTGCATAAAGTATTAGTGTGTTTTAACACTGTAAGCCCACCACGTGTCCACCCAGATGAAAAAACAACTACCTATGTCTCCCACTCGACCCCTGCTCTCCTCTCCTCTCCAAAATAGTCTAGCGTCTTGAGTCATTCTGTGGTTTAATTTTGCCTGTTGTTTACATGTACACAAACGTGTAGTAAAATAGATTTGGTGTCTTATGCCTTTTGTTGAAATTCATGTTTGTGAGAGTCATCTGTATTGACTTTTCCATTTCCTTGGTTTTATAGAATTCTATTGTATGACGTGTTTATGTTTGAATTCCCTGATTTGGCTCTGAGTTTAAACATGAGCAAATAGGGGACTAAGGGGGAGACCGCCACCACTGGTTAAAAGAATTGTTTTCCCCAAACAGAATGGAATGAAATTTAACTAAGCTGTTGGTGAGAAGGATTACTAAATGCAAGGGTCACCATTTTATATATTTACTTACTTTCAAAATTTCATTGTCTAACACAAAGCCGAAAGGTATTCAGAGGTGACTCTGAAATGTGTTAAAGCTGTACCCTGCAGGTACAGCTGGACATTTTTCTTCAGTGCCCACTGCAGGACCAGAGGGTTGGATTCAGATGGGGCACCACCTAGAACAAATGCCCAGCTCACGAGAAGCAGTTCAGTGAAAACAGACGCTAAGAACAATGCATGTGAGGACATGGCCCACAGCTGTCCCTGGTGGGGAAAGGAAATTTTGCTTCCAAAATGAATTTGGTGGTGGTTGCTAATTTGTCTAACTGGCAGGAGAAAAGAAATCATCTACTCATTTCTGGCTCTTCTAGGGCAAGTTCTAGTTATGGTTGACTTTATGATGTTTTAAATTATGCAAGGTATATTAAGTCAAATTGTGAACGTGTACATTTTCTACATATCTTATTCATTATAAGAGATGCAGACTACCTAAAGGCAGAACTCTGTAGGCCCAGAGTCCCCATCAGCGTACCCTCAAGCTGGAGAAGGCCTGCCTTCTTCCTGAGAGGAAGCTGGCCCCAGGGAAGGGGGGTGGAACCATTCATGGTAAGCTTCTGCAGCAGGAAGCGAGACCAAGTTTAGAATGGTCCTGGGCCTTTATTATTTATATGGGCATGCTTTTCTCTCTCTTTTTCACAGAGCAGTGCTAGCTCTATATCGTGACTAAGTTCTTAGCTTTTAGTGTTTCTCAAAAGTCCGCTCTGCTCGTCTGCAGGCCCTTGCGCGTCCACAGCTGCGCCAGGTTCTTGCCGTAACGAGGTTTTGGGTGGAGGTGCGAGGCTGCACTTCGGTCTGCTCTGCTGAGCAAGAGGGACTGTTAGAGATGCTGGGGAGGGGGCGCATTCAGAATCTTCTTCTAAAATGGAAAACCCATCACCTCACTTCCTGCTTCAAACCTCTGCTGATGACGTCCCACGCCATGTGGAATCAAATCCAAATTCTCAGCCTGCCTGGCTTTGGTTAAGTCCTGCGTTCCCATTGTGCGCTGTCTCTTCATTCAGATATCCCCCCCACCGGCATTGTTGGCTCTTCCTCCCTCCGATGTGCTAAGCTCCTGTGCCAGCTCAGGTCTTTTTTTTTGGTGGGGTGGGGGGTGGTTACATACACCCTCCTATACTGCTATTTGACTTTTCACAGGTGTGAACCTAGATCCCAAAGGCCCCAGGGCAGCTTCTCCGCAGTGACTGTCGCGTGGGGAGTATTGTAGCCCGTATTGGTCAGCGTGTTGCTTTGAGCAAGCCTGCTGCAAACAACATCTTTAAAGTGTTAAAAATAAGAGGCAAAAATGCCACATCAAGAACTAAAGGGCACCTGGGCAAGCCATGGTATTTCCCAGTGAGAGCTTGACAGGGAATAAGGAAGGCCAAAGAAGAATTGGTGCCTTTGAAGGACGGTGTTGACAAAGAATGCTGAATGTACGATAGACTACCAGAAACACAAACACGAACCAAGTGAAAGAAATCAAGCCTTTGCCCATTTCCCTCTCTGCCTACAATGATCTTTAACTTTTCACCCGAATGGCTCCTTTTTGATATTAAAGTGGCTGCTCAAGTGTTAATTGCAAATTGAAGATCCTGCTAAATTAACCCCCTAGGTACAGACTGAGACGTATCTAAATTAGTTTCTGCCCCTTTGCAGGACAATTTGACAATAGTGGTCAAAATCAAAAGCATTTGTTCCTTTGGACCCAGTAATTCTGCCGGAAGACAGAGACTCAACAAAATGGAGCTCGATCCGTAATGGTTTCCGAACTTCTGAAGAAGCGGTGAGCCAACAGGGAGCCCTGGTGGCCTCTTGGTAGCAGCTGCACATGAGGCTAAGATCCCTGTGGTCCGCAGTTTGAAACCACCAGCACCTACTCTCATACACAGTTACAGTCTCAGAAAGCCACCGGGGGTCAAGCCAACAGCTTGAAGACAGCCGAATTCGAGGAACTGCAGGTGAAAGACCTTGAATGACCAATGGGGTGGCGTCTCTGAGACCCAAAACAGTATTTTAACTTGGCTTAAGCACAAAGCCAAACCATGACAGACACTCCCAAGCAAGTGGGAACTTTCCTGCTGCCCCCTTCACCTCCTCCTTGTCTCCTTCCCGCCCCAGTCTGAGTGTCCCCTCTGCAGCTGACCCCAGCTGGGGTGGAGAAGGAGACATTTTCATTTTAAATTAGCATTTGAGAATTACTGACATGGGGCTCAGTATTTCAAAGAACATTGTCTTGCTTGTTTTGGACTTAACACCTGGAGGGATCAGTGGCTAGAGAAGGCAGTCGGCCTGGTGCCGTGAAGACCCGGGAGGGTGGGAGAGCCTCAGTGCGCTGGCTGACAGCAGCGGCACCCTGCTGGCAGGGGGCGGCTGGTGTAGAAGCAGGAGCAGATAGCGCTTCATCCTGTTGTGGCTAAGGCTGCCCTGGGTTGAAGTCAACTTGACAGTAACTAACAACAATAAATATTTTTAAATACTGAACCAAGACTGTTTATAACAAAGTGATCATGAGGCTTTTTTTTTTTAATTTCCTAAGAATAACCAAAGTCAATGTCATGTCAGGTAGAATTAAAAGCAGACATTAGAGTGGCAGGGACCCAGCTGGAAGGAGGGGATCAGGGGAACCTCTCTGAAGCAAGAGCTGAGTGAAACGAGAACACAGAGCTTTCAAAGCTGAGAGGGCAAGGAAGTGCAAAGACCTGAGCAGGATGCGTTCTTGAGATGTCTAAGAAACACGGCTTGGCTGGAACACAGTGAGCGAGGTGGGTCTTACAGGCCATAGGGAGGAGCTTAGACTTTATTCTAAGGATGATGGAAGATTTTGAGAAGGGTTGAGGGGGGTTGACGTGATGTGGATTGAATGTGTGAGCCACAAAAGATCGAATCCTACCCAATATCTGCATTTCTGAGGATTTGAGAGAGAGTACTTTTGTCAGTTTCTTACACTGTTGGCTCATGTGTGGCTGTGAATCTGGAAGCTATGCCACTCGTGGGAGGTCCTGCGAGCGTGGCGAAGTGTGGCACAGACCTCGCAAGTGCAGAGACCAGGCTCCCTGGTCAGATCTGGTCTGGAGGACTCCTCCCCGCCCCACCCCACCCCAGGACTATGGTTTCTGTGCCTCCAGTTTCAGCCAAACAATAGGCCTAAATGGGGAACCATAATTTTAGTGAGGTGTGCACAATGTTGAATAATCAAGCATTTGAGGACAAAAGGGCAGCATTTGCATAAGGAGAAATTGATGAAAGAGTAGGAAAGGAGAAATGGAAATATGAAACAAGGAGGGTTGGGATTCACATTGTCACATTGAGGGAATCGCAATTGTTGAGTGTAAAGCAAATGATCTGCTTTGTAAACCTTCACCCAATTCAAAACAAAAGGTACTTTGTCAAGCTCATGGAGAATGGAAGTGAAAAAGGATGGGTTCCCCCCCCCTCGCTTTTGGAAGCCCGTGTGTACAACGGGACGCCAGGAGAACAAACAAGTACGGTTAGAATACACCTTAAAAACAAAGATAGACTCAAG